CACCATGGCCAAGACCAAAGAGCTGTCCAAGGATGTCATGGACAAGATTGTAGATCTACACAAGGCTGGAATGGGCTACAAGACAATCACCAAGCAGCTTGGTGAGAAGGTGACAACAATTGGTGCAATCCTCAGCCAGGGCATTGAAAATGGGTAGTGGATGGGTAGTCTAGAATGACAATGACCCTAAACACACAGCCAAGGCAACAAAGGAGTGGCTCAAGAAGAAGCATATTAAGGCCCTGGAGTGGCTTAGCCAGTCTCCAGACCATAATCCCATAGAAAATCTGTGGATGGAGCTGAAGGTTCGAGTTGCCAAACGTCAACATCGAAACCTTAATGACTTGGAGAGGATCTGCAAAGAGGAGTGGGACAAAATCCCTCTGACCTCTGTGATTGCCAACAAGGGTTTTGTAATCAAGTACTAAATTGAAGGGGTCAAATACTTATTTCACTATATTGACATGCAAATTAATTTATAACTTTTTTGATATGCATTTTTCTGGATTTTTTAAAATTTATTCTGTCTCTCACTATTAAAATACACATACCATTAACATTATAGACTGACCATTTCCTTGTCAGTGGGCAAATGTTCAAAATCAGCAGGGCATCAAATACTTTTTCCTATATTTTATATATATATATATATATATATATATATATATTTGCACAACAGCATGTGAAATTGATTGTCACTCAGTGTTGCTTCCTAAGTGGACAGTTTGATTTCACAGAAGTGTGACTGACTTGGAGTTACATTGTGTTGTTTAAGTGTTCCCTTCATATATATATATATATATACACACACACACACACATACACATATTTCCTGATAATTATTCATGGCAGCATTTACTCATGGGTTAGCTCCTCCCCTTACAGCAGAAAGGACAGGAAATAGAACTTTGAAACTGGTATAAATAGATCCTCCCCCTTCCCATTAGGCAGCCTTTTTTCCTTCACAGCTGTTTGGAAGGAGTCTGCTTACGCATGTCTCGATTTTTTCTTTTATGCTCACCAGGCAATATTTTTTTAGGCCCTGCCAGGGTTCAGCCTCTAAGCCCTGAAGACCCAGCAAAAACGCACTAAGATGAAGTGGCTAGCCTGGGTACCCCCTTTAGTGACCGGGGGTCGGACCCAACCTCTCCCTGAAGGGATGACAATGGTCCACTGCATGCCAGAGTTCAGCCTCTTATCCTGAAGACCCAGCAACATGCCAGCTTGGGTGCCCCTTCAGAGGATGTATGTGATATACTGCCTACATGAAGCGAGGCCAGGGTCATATGTTGCCAGCCTGGGCTCCTACTTCAGCAACCAGGAGTCTGTCCTATCTCTCTCGGAAGTGATGACAGCGGTCCACTGCATACATGAGGCCCAGTTGAGTCTAAACCCTTATCCATGAAGACCCAGCAAACAGCACATGTGTAAGAGTTGTCAGCCTGGGTACCTCCTTTAGCAATCAGGTGTCTAACCTATCTCTCTCCCTGAGGGGATGACAGCGGTACACTGCATACATGAGGCCCAACAGAGTTGTGACTACCAGGGTATACCTATTCTATGTATTCCACCTTGTATGGTGATGATGAACGGCATATGGGGTACAGATGGAAGCCTTTAGTTTAAACAGTTTAGGTTGTCAGTTGTTCAAATCCCCATTTTGCCGCTGAAACACAGGCCTGCAACAGTTCAGGTTAGTGCATTAGTAATTTAGATTAAAACTAGTATAGGCACCTGGGTCTCTGTTCTTTCAGTCCCTACCAGCTGCTTACATTAAGCTTCCTTCTAACAAATAGGTCACATTTAGGAGGTTTGTGTGGTGAGCATTTAGGTAAGTTTATACATGCTTGGTGCAAAAGAGTGCTGATAATACAAGTATGCATTGGGCAAAGTAGTGCTGATAATGCAAAAAGAGTGCTGATAATGAAAGGAGGAATTGTGCAAAGTAGTCCTGAGAATTCAATTAGACATTGTGAAAAAGAGTGCTAATAATGGATATCCTGGCTGTATAAAGTCTGCTGGAATTCCACAGCCTGAAGACAGAGAAATATCCAAGGTAAGAGTCTGATTAAGGTACACACATGTATATGACAGGTTTTAAAAACCTAACTCTAATCTAAGTTCACACACACACTTGTTTCTATCAAGGTATGTGGCATTGATTGCTGTTATCTGTGCATTATCACAAATAAGTAGGCTTTGCAGACAGTGGAAGAATATACTGCACAGGAGACCACTGGGCCTCAGTATCTGTACATGAACTGGTGGTGGTACAGCATCGGTATGTTTCCACTATATGCTCTAATGTATGAATTGGTATGAAGTCTCAGTGTGTGTCCAATATATGCTCGAGGTATGAGTTACTATGAGGACACAGCCTCAGCGCATATATACTCTATGTATGAGTTACTATGAGGACACAGCCTCAGTGTATGTATGTATATATATATATATATATATACACACACACACACACACACACACACACTATATGCTCTATGTAGGAGTTACTATGAGGACACGGCCTCAGTATATGTACCCACTATATGCTCTTGGTATAAGTTACTATGAGGACACAGCCTCAGTATATGTATCCATTATATGCTCTATGTAAGAGTTACTGTGAGGGCACAGCCTCAGTATATATATATATCCACTATATGCTCTAACACACTATAGGCTCTATGTATGAGTTACAATGAGGAGACTGCCTAAGTCAGGGGTAGGCAACCTACGGCCCTAGTGCCATGCACGGCACTCGAGGTGTCTTTGCACGGCACTCAAGGCTACAAGAGCCAAACAGGCTCTGGCCTGTCAGGAGTCCCAGTGAAACTTCAGATATCTGCTAATACGAAAAGGTGGTGAAGGACAATCCTCCATTTATGCATTGCAGCACGTAGAGGAAGTGATCTCAGATCACTTCCTCCCAGCACTTGTGAATGGGAATCCACACTGGAGTAGAGCAGCCCATAGCTTCTTGTTGCAGCTTCAGTCCTTGAGCTATACCTGGCTAGCCTGGTCCCCACTAAAACCCAGGGAAGCCTCAGAGCTGCAGAATAACCCTCCCCTCATACAAATAATACGAACACACACACAGTCCGCACAAACACACCACCACCAACAATCCACATACATGCACACAACCCCACATGCAGGCTCTCACATGCAATACCCCAAACAGCCCCCCACACATACACACACTACCAAACACACAATGTGACATATCCATCCACACACAATTCCACAAGCAGCCCCCATACACAGCCCACATTCATAGGTATCATACACAACACCACAAACTACTTGTAAACATATACAATATAATATCTCATATACGCACAAATACAACAATACAAAGCAACTGCAGTATAAATAACACAAGCAGAATATGGCAACATGCACACCTCAATTTAAAGAAATCGGACCAACACGCTACGGGACATCACAATCATATTTCGGCACAGTGCTGCTAAAAGGTTGCCCAACCATGGCCTAAGGATATGTATCCACTATAGGCTCTGTGTATGAGTTACTATGGAGACACAGCCTCAGTATATATATCCACTATATTGTCTATGTATGAGTTGATCTGAAGACTCTGCCTCAGTGTGTGTTCTTTATATGCTCTGAGTCGCTGTGAAAACACAGCCTCAGTATATGTCCTCTACATGCTCTATAGGGAAGATGGTGTGGAGACATTGCTTCAGTGTATCTGTTCTCTATATGATTGATGTATTAGTGGAAGCACAATATATGTGAATGATATAAGTACATCCGCTATATGAGTCCAATCTAATACAAGTTCTATGTGGGGGTTGTTAGTCACAACCTCAGTATATGTGAGTGGTATAATACGTGCATGAAGTTCTGTTAAAACACAGCCTCAATTTATCTCACTCATATAATCTTAATATGTGTACAGGCATAGTGTCCCTGTATATAGCAGATGTAGGCTATGTATGATTACTGTTTAAACAGACTCAGTATATGTGACTGATATATCTGTGCATAAGGTGCTGTTAGAAACATCCACATTGTATGTAATTCCATAGGCATGCGCAGCCTATTGTATTAGGGTGTGCACCCTAAAGTACAAACACACGCCGCATGTGTATATATGTATTTTAATACACATATATATACACAGATACAGTGCTGTGTGATGTGATGTGTGTGAGGGTGCTGGTAGTGTGCTATGTGGGTGAGGGTGTTTGTGTGGGTGCTGTTTGTGTGTGAGGGTGCTGGTAGTGTGCTGTGTGTGAGGGTGTTTGTGTGTGTGTGTTTGTTAGGGTCCTGTTACTGTGCTGTGTGAGGGCGCTGTGTGTGTGCGTGTGTGTGATGTGTGTGGGTGTCGTACATTTGTGAGGGTGCTGTTAGTGTGCTGTGTGTGAGGGTGTTGTGTGTTTGTAAAGGTGCTGTGTGTGTTTGTGAGGGTGCGGTTAGTGTACTGTGTGTGTGAGCATGCTGTGTTTGTGAGGGTGCTGTATGTGTGTGGATGCTGTTTGTGTCAGGGTGCTGTATGTGTGTGTGCGCTGTATGTTTGGAGGGATTGTGGAGGTGGGGGCAGATTAGTAGATATCCTTTATATATACACCCCTCCCTTCTTACCTTATGTAGGGAGGGGGGATCCTTGCTGCCATGTGCCATCCCTGGTGGTCCAGTGGAGAGTGAACTCTAGCCTGCGGGGCTAGAGTTAACTCTCTCGAGATCTGAGCGTTGCCCTGGCAATGCTCAGATCTTGTGAGAGGAACCTGTCGGAGCTGCTGTCTAGAGCTCCCCGGGTCCTCTCCTGCCTCCCTCCATGCTGCTGTGGGCTGGTGAGGTAGATCTTTGATCTCCCCGCCAGCCCATGGAGGCTTAGAGCAGAGCCGGCACTCAGATAGCGCAGACTCTGCGTGAGCCGACAGGGGAGATCCGGAGATCTCCAGAGAAGTCCTGGGGAATAAAGTGTGGGAACTCTCCCAAGATTCCCACCCCCCCCCAAAAAAATAATATACGTGTGTGTGTGTGTGTGTGTGTGTGTGTGTGTGTGTGTGTGTATATACACACACACACACACACGTGCACATACATATTCAGACACACACACACACATTCACAGACACACACACATAAAAATTCTAATTAAGAAATGTCCACCCAGCCTACCTACCTGGAGAGCTGGCGTGGACCGGTCCCTGGGGTCCAATGGGTCGGGCGCCTTTCTCCAGATCAGAGGCAGCAAGGGAGCGGTGTCCACTCTGCTGCCTCTCGCCGCGTGGTCTGTCTACAGTAGCTGGGAGCCGAAATATGACGTCATATTCCGGCTCCCGTCATCAGCAAATGGCGCGCTGCGCGAGGGAGCAGAGTGGACACCGCTCCCTCGCCGTGTCTGATCTGGAACTCTGTTCCTGCAGAACTCAATACATAGGCGTGCCGCGGGGATTAGGGTGTGCGCACGCCTATGTGTAATTCATATAATCTGTATGCAGGTTGGTATTATTATATAACCCTAATTTATACACAGCATTGGTAGATTTAATATATACAAATAATCTAAGGTCTGTTTTGCGCTGAAATGTAGCACCGCCCAATTCTAGCAAATACAAATGCCCTGTTGCACTGGGTAAGTAATTATTGCCTACTGTGGATTTTCTATTTCAGTTTTTAAAATGAAGTAGATAAGGAAACATACTGCTTTTGGCTTTGTATTAGATTCCTTCTCCCACAGGTGTTTCAGGATAAGCAATTAACACATTTTACCACTTCAGATAGATTGAAGGTGTTACCGAACCTGTCTGAGTGCCTCTCCCAGGAGAGAAGGAGACCTGTTTTTCCAAAATGGAGCATGGTAATGTTTAACAGAATCAATTTTATTTTTTTGTGTGTGCACTCCTATGTATTTATACATGAGACCAACCTACAAAAGTTTTTCTATTGCCAGGCATCCTCTCCCCTCTGTTCAAGATAGGGAATGTTTTACCTTCAGATATATGCTGATTACTGATGCACAGCTTAGTAGATCATACTGGTTGCAGGAGCACAAATTGGGCTATTAATTGATCTCATAAGTAGGCAACGCTGAAGCCATTACCCGATTTAAAAGCTGTTAAAATAGTTTTTTTCTTTCACCTGGTCATAACTTTTTATTCTTTAAATCTAAGTTCATTTCCTTAAAGCATACATTTTATATTCTGTATTCTCTTTTATCCCTTGGATACCTGAAAGTTTGGCAATACCTTTTAGTATATGTTGGGGGTGGCATGATTTTGGTTCTTAAGGAGTTAATGTTCAGAAACCTCTGACCGATTCCCCTGTTGTGAAGGGGACCATTATAATTTCCTTTCTGCAATAAAGGTATTCTTTTAGGCTCCTATGCTCCAGGTAACTTTTGATGCTGTGTTTTGCAAGTATTTTAAGGTCATTCCAGTCCCCAGACCATTCTACCAGGTTTACTATTTCAGGTAAAATTCACCTGCTGCCTGAACAATAGAGGAAATCCCTGAACAGGTAGTTCCATTACGGACCTCTCTTCTGATATTCATGGGATTCTTCTAGGTGTCTTATATCTGGAATTGCAACCAATGTGTGGCTTTAAATGGTTGATTCATCCTGCATAATTTAATGTAATGCAGCTTATTGATGACAAACATTTGACTGATCTGTTTTACATGGTCCCTGTACCTAGATCTGTATAAGTTATGGTCACTCCTAACATTGCATTGATTTAATACTTGTGGATTATATGTTTGGATTGGTGTTGATATCTTGCAGATATAACAAGCTGCTTATTATCACCATAGGCTCTGCCATAAGTACTTCTTCACTATCTGAAGATTAGGTAAGAGTAAGTATGCGGTTGTTGTTCTCATAAGGATAACTGAATATCTCCTACTATCCTGCTTATTATGTGTCTGTTGCCACAATGTATAATGTGCCTCTGGTTACCACCTTCCCATCAGTATCTTGCCTGTTATATATCTCTTACTTATGTTGCACAACAGTCTCTAATAAAATTGATTATACTGTTTGGCATAATCTGTACTATTTACAAATGTAGGTTCTGACGTGGTTGGCCTCCTTATAATTTAGTAGTTGCCACAAATTCTATGGTTCATACCGATATTTATTTTTTTCCTCAACTAATCTGTGTATGATTCTTCTTGCCTTTGCCTAGTAATGTTATTAGTTTATTCCTCTCCTGTGACTGATCATTCCTGTATCAATTCATCCACTGTGTGAGGTATTGTTGTGAATCTGAATTTTGCAACATCGGATCATTGTTGCAGTGTTTTAATAACAGAATCTTATTTCTCTACTAGGCTCTGCCCCTTTCTGACAGGCAGATATTGATTTGTTCCTGTATCTTCAGGTAAGTAGTTCACAAGGCAAGAGGAAGCAGTGTGAATCGTATTTAATAAATACATCCAGTAAGTAGTAGGATTCTCAGTGTAATTCTCCCCGTGTTTAATAGCATGGTGTGTCCGTTCTCATGCAACAGTGTCTGATTGTTCCAGTATGATCTCTGGAAGTTAAGCCTTTGTAAGGTTCTGATTTGTTGATATCAATTTGGTTTTAAATTTTTATATCAGAATTACATTTTCCTTCTCTAGCTTTTGCTATCATGGCTTTAATTCCTATCTGACTCTATATCTATTCAGGATATTTCAGATATTGAATGCCAGGAGGTTGCTGTCCGTTCCTAGGGAAAGTCTTGTCTGAGCAGATTTTATGACAATTTCCTATTGATTCTTGTTTGGCTTTGTAAAGTCTTCTAAGATTTATCCAGCTCAATAATGGTTTTATAGCTATTAGCTGTTTTTGAACTCTGTCCCTCCCTCAATATATACTGCTTGGGTATTCCCCATGAGTAAATGCCGCCATGAATAATGGTCAGGAAATTGGAAAATTGTTTCATACTTACCATAATTTTCTTTTCCTGATAATTATTCATGGCAGCATTACGTTCCCACCCATATACTATAGGAGTTGTGAAGCTAGTTACAAAGACTGCCTGATGGGAAGGGGGAGGATCTATTTATACCAGTTTCAGAGTTCTATTTCCTGTCCTTTCTGCTGTAAGGGGAGGAGCTAACCCATGAGTAAATGCTGCCATGAATAATGATCAGAAAAAGAAAATTACGGTAAGTATGAAACAATTTTCCATTATATATACACACATATCACACACATACATATACACACACACACACACACACACTATTTTTTGTTTTCGACAGGTAATATAAAAAAAAAGAGAAATGTCACGGCTGAAACACAGAAGAACCTCCTATCTTTGGCGTTACAAAAGATCCCAGTTGATAATAAACGATTTTTAAAAATAATAGGGAGTCAAGTAGTCTTTTAACGTCATGTTGTGTTGTGACTGACACCGCATATTCTTAAAATAAGCACAAATACTTCATTGTGATGAGATGTACATTGGATTAGAAAGGACAATATTCTCATTTCAATTGTTGTAAACCTACTGCAAGACTAACAGGTGGCGTTAGCTGCACACATGCCTCTAGAAACGTGTTCCATTAGGGTTGGATCCCTGCTATGTGTTTAATCATCAGCTTAACAATAGAAGTTGAAGGGGTTGCGAACAGTGCCCCAGAGGAGAAGAGATGACAGTTCTAATCATTGCTCCCACTCGTATTACAGCAATGTGCAAGCATATAAAGTCACTTCCCCCCTCCCAGAGCCTATAAAAAAAAAAAAAAAGTGTCTCCCTACATTTGGCAATCCAGATGTAGTGGACCATATCTCCCCTGATGCTTTGCTAGCAGTATGACTAAGAGCATTATGGGAGATGTAGTTCACAATGGATGGTGTGCCGGAGGTTGCCTACTCATGGCCTAGGAATTCTGTCTCAATGTGGATACTGAAAAAAAACCTGAAAAAAAATTATGTGTGGATTGGGAACCAGTGTCATAGGCATTCAGGATCTGTGCATAGCTCCTCCTATCTTAATGGAATACTGTGGCTGGTCTGGAGCCCAGACTGCATAACAACTTCAACTCAGTGAAATTATTATGGAGGCTGGAGCTCCTTCCTAATAGTATGTAACAGGAAGAAAAATAAGTTATTTGAGATAAACGCAAAAACGTAGAAAACGTCATTTTCCTGAGAAGCAATACAGGAGTGTACCAGATCTGATGGCTAGCACAAATCAGATGAATAGCACACAATACAAACAATGATATTCAATGCATGCAGAGATGTAGCAAGAATTAAATATGAACACTGAGCGGTTAAGATGTGTCATTACTTTTACACGCACGTGTGTTATAACCACTACTTAATAGTGTTTAAGCTTTTTATTGGATGAAAGAATTAGAAATGTTCCACACACAGAAGATCGGTTTTTGAGGGAGAAAATTAGAAAATGAAACCAGATCTAAGGACAGTGTTTATTACATTTTGAAAGAATGGATACAAAATGCACACAAGATATCTACAAATCAGAATATCTACAAATCAGAAAAAGACCAGCACAGTCTACAGATTACAAAAGCATTTGGTTTACATGCACTAAAGATCATATCAAGGTTTTAAATGCAAAAAGCGTTGAGATCACCCTTTGAAGGAATTCTACAATCTGGGATTTTATTTATGGCTACCAGGGTTAAGTAGCTACTTTGCCTTCTGAGTAATGTGCAGCATTGGTCACTTGTGAAACTCAAGTTAATTTAAGTTTTAAGTTTCCAAGTGTTCTTTTATTTACACGTTTAATTATATAATTTGTTCTTATTTTGGGTTACTAAAAGGGTTTACAATTATGGATAAAAAATAAAATAAAAAAATAAAAATCTGTGTTAAATATGAGAGAAAGTGGGACCAGTGGCAGCCAAAAGAGACTCAATTAAAGATATGTTGTCTCTGGAAGGGAGTGTGTGCTTTGCATTTGTGTAGAATCCTTTGTAGGAGTGTTCAAAACGCGTTGGTATTAAATAGACACACTGTATAGATCATTGTCAAAAAAACACAATATTGCAACACACAGTTCATGCATCAAAAGGGCATGTTTTATAATTAAGTATAGCAAAACTTTGTTTACAAATTAAATTTTTAAAGAAACTAAAAAAAAAAAA